CCCCCCCTTTTATCCACTAGGGGAGGTCTATTGTTGCGATGTGCGCATTACAACACATTAAACAAATACAAATAAAGAAATGTATACATACAACGTTCCAAGTTCTAGTGTTTTCGCGGCTGAAAGAGGCAAATTGCTTTGGTTTCATGGGGTTGGTTGATGTTGTGTGCTCATTGTTTTCACTTCTTCAAGCAGCACCAACCTAACGGGAAGTGTTGAACTGCAACTGAAAGACCAGATTGAAGAAACAATCACACAACGTCGACATATCTATATATAATTTATATAGGAATATATAGGGTTCTTTTGCACGGGTGTGATGCAGTTCAACGTAGTTCACATATTTTACTGCTTGCCTGACCTCAGATCCACCATTTCATCCATCTTCCTAATCCAGGCCATGCTGTCTGCCATGCTGTCTGCCATGATGCCCGGCCTGCTGCGATGAGGGTGTATCCATCCGCCTTGCGCCGCAGCACTGCCCAGTTCACTGCACGCCCTGCAGAGAACGGCACTAGGTTGCTATCCTGGGCCCATGTGCGCATAAAGGCTGGGGCGCGGGGGCCTCAACTCCCAGCCAACCATTGTGGGATAAGTGTGACTTAATTGGTTGCATCTGTCTGCAGGAAGATACCCTACACATCTGGACCCACCAAACCCTCGCCATTTCCATCAATTTCCATCTCAGGTGGCACTGGGGGAACCTTCCTCCAACCAAGCACAAGGAATACTCTACTTTCGCCAGTCCCAGTGGCGATGTGCTCCCATTTGTCGGACCGGAAGAGGATGTCAGCGTCGTTGAACTGTTCCTGGGCGGGAGGACGCTGGGTCAGACATCAGGGTGGGGCCTGGCATCGGGGTGGTGGGTAGAGGACGCTACTAGGGGCTCCTGGCATCGCTACTAGGAACAAGGACGCTACTAGGGGATCCTGGCCTTACTACTTGATCCAACTTTACTTCTGTAGTGTAAATGGATGTAACATGATGTAGTTTGATCGAAGGGGAGGAGGTTTGGCGGACTCTGCGCTGCAATGAAGAAGGTCCTATGAACCTCTGAGAAGGCGGACTCTGCGAAACTGGCTGTCTTCAGAGTGCATGGGGTGGTTTCATGGCTGAGCGCCACCGGCAGGGCGTAGATTCGGTGGGCGCATGGTAGTCATGCACGGGCTCAAGTTGATGCGACTTGGGTGAATACTTGCAACAGTTCACTTGGCAGTTCTTTCTGATAACTGTGAAGTTGGCAATGCTGGACATGCAAGCGGCAGCCTCACAAGTGTTGCTGGCTGGTTAGCTTAGCAAAAGGGATAGGTTCTCGCATACATGCATGTCTAATCATGTTACCGGCATCTTTGTTTGCAGCTCATTGGTGGCGAACTAAGAATGTAAATCTGTCTGTTCGCGGGCTCTTTTCAAGCTGGATGGAAAGTGTACGGCACTTTGTGACATGCCTTCTTTCGCTTTGTTGCATGTACAGTGCTAGCAGGCTAGCATCATAATATTGGACAGGCCCCTGTGATTTGGCCCACTGGCTTATCGCCGACTTTCCGATCGCCGAGCAAAGTTGAGCACCCAAAGCGAGACTCCTCATTAGAAGTCAGGTGAGCTACAGCCAAAACCTGAGAGAAATCCCAACTAAGCGGTGGCCGGGGGCCGAACCGCAGCAGACTTCCCATAGCAGTTGCACAACTGCACAACACATGTTCAAATGAACGGTGTCGGGTGATATGGCACCGGGGCCTCCGATACGGATACGCCTCGACGAGTCCCGTTTGCAAGTTCTATCATGTTCTATCCAAGTACGGCAGGAGTGGGCATATTGAACATGTACTCTACACTAGCACTGCACGTTCTACAAGATTCCAAGCTTTCATGTTTTGTCATTGACTTCTGCAACACCCAAGTCAGGCCTACAGATTTACTCTAAAATACAACGAAACAATGTAATTCTCATGTGCCAAGCTACTTGCTTTTAGTTTACTGAAATCAGCCCCTTTCAAGCCAACGTCGACCCAGACCAACTTGCACCACCCAGTAGAACTCACCACCAAGCATCAGTGGCCCCACCGGTGGCAAAGGCATACACGTTGCCTGAGACTTGGTTGAGACGTGCCAAAATGGCGTCCTGCCGCACATCGCTGCTAAAAAGGTCCGCATGTGATTCATTCTCTACAAACTTGAGACGTTCAAACGATTATGCTATCTATCAACATGGGCTCGTCTAATCTTGTGATGCCCCAGTTGCTAGCTTTCCCTTCTGCACATCAAACTGGTTGCTTTTTGTTGCTTCAAATATCTGATCTGACATGCCATCCATGCTAGTTCAACAAAGAACGAGAGTCCACCAAAAGCTGAACAAACACCCTATAGCATCTCTCAACCAAAAGAGTGTCTGAAGATGTCTGAAGTATGAAATGCCTCGCATCGTTTCTACCGGAGGGGTTTCAAAAAATTCCGCGGAGCCTTTTCAATTTTGGTGCCAGAAACTATTGCACTCCTTTGTGGGAGTTGACGGGATTTGAGCAAATCCCAAGTGCTATTGATGAATCTGTGTCAAACCTTGGGTCAACGACTGCCACGGAGTTGCAGGGCGGTTTCATCCGTGCTACGGTGATGCCATCCCAATCCAGCGATCCGGCGATGGACCGTCTGAGACAGCGATGCCATTGACTAGGCTAGCTGACCTCCTTGGTCGAGCATGGTTTTCACTGGTGTGGCAGTGCATGCTGCATGCAGTGCCTATAGAAAAACAAGCAACGGTTTCCTGGATTCCTGGCCAACCTCTCTGCATTCTCATAGGTTCACAAGTGCTTGGCTACTTTAGCCTCAACCATCAAAGACATTGACTACTTGTCTCTCAAACACTGGACGACCATGCAAACAACATGCACAAAGAAGCTCCGAACAAAGTTATCTTTCCCGTCTGCAGTCTTTCCCACCAGGCCAGGTCCTTTTCACTCCACATCTCTGGAATGGCTGCGATCTCGGGCTGCATCCGCATGAGCTCATCCACCACGGGATTTATCCTGGCCAACATGGAAGTTCCACACGCCCAAGTGCTGCCTTTGGGGATAGGTAGAAGACGATAGAAGTTGGATTACATTGTATAAATCTATGAGAGCTGCGGGGCCCAATGAGCAACACGTGACAAGGGGCCTCAGTGTCGGATGGCTATAGAATGTTATAGAGTTTCCAGGGCAGCCACCATCACTTAATTGGCCTACTAAAGGCATCTAAAGGCGACTAAAGGGCACGCTTACGGTATACTTCAACAGCCAACAGCCAAACGGTTCCGAGTCCTTGGACTCGGACAAGGTGAAAGCAACAAGGTTGGAGGCATCTGCTCCTCTTGTGTTCTAGGTAACTAATCTCAAATCCAGCTGAGCATCATCTTGGATTGCCCGCATTCCCGAGCCTTGCCGGGTTTCTATTTAAAGCCTGGCTCAACTGTTCAATCTGCCAAAGCCAATCAAAGGGCCACCTACCCCCTTGCAGGGGGCCCAGTCCTTCCAGCCAAGGTGAAGACGTAAAGGTTCCAGGTTACAAAGCCTTGGCTCGGTCGCGCAGCAATTTCAGCAACTCCTCGAGACGCAACGAGTTGCGTGACATGTGAGAAACCAAGATCACTTATGAAAAGGATTTGGCGTCTGAGGTACGCTCTGTTACTGACAATGGCATAAGAAAGATCAGTTGTTGTTTTTGGTTCAGCACCCTTGCTATGGAGTGAATGGTTCTTCCTAGCATATGCACACACGCTCATTCAAAACGGTGCTCACAAAACTGTAGCCATTAAAAGAATAAATCCACGAACCTGCAACGCACGTTCAACGCGTTCAAGTTCTTACCACCAGAGACAACTGAGCAATCCAGCTTCGCTCTTTGTTGTGATTAGCCTCTCACTGCCCAGTAGCGCGTTGCTTCCCCTGGCACGACCGGCGGCCGCGGTGGCGGCAGCGGCGGCAGCACAGGCTTACCGGTGTCACCGGGCCATGCGCAAGCAATGCCGCCAATGGTGCACCAGCCGTCGGCAGACAAGTGGCAATCCCAAATGGGATTGGCATCTGGAAGGACGAGAACTGCGAGTCACTGCCCTTCACGAAAAGCCAGCCGAATACATAAAGGCAGCCAAGTGCATGTCTGCATTCATTTGCTATATACGTACACGTGCAAACGACTCAAATGGGTGCTCAATTTCTTGTTCTCTTCTTCGGGTGCGACTTCCAGGATCGGACAACTAGACGACGGGTGGTGTTCGGGTCCTCAAAACAAGCCATGGATGTCGCCATGAGCTTTCATGTCTCTCGATTCTAGATGCCTGATAATCGAATCCAAAACATGGCAAATTAGTAGACGTCTAGTAGCTGTCCTGCTACTACTTGGATGGCCTGAGAGCATCTCAAAGGATGGATTTGGCCAGAATATTTCACGACCCTCCCCCAAAGAAAGCGACCATGCATGAAATTTCGGAACATTGGGATGATTGCCCGTCTTCTGTCTATGCCCTACTCTGTGTTTTTACGGGAGGGAATTATCATGAAGGATATCCAAAAAAACATGTGCGGCACCGGAAGCAATTCTGAGCACCTAACTGGCAGCCTAGCTATCGGGAGTCAAGAATAGCAGTGGAATGGGCTCCCCTTTTCAATTCCCTTGCAAGTGAAGCCATCTGAAGCCCAAGTCCCTTAAGGATCCACCAGCTCTCCACTCCACAGCCGGTTCCACCAGGTGGCTGGTGTGCTCCTTGTAACAGGCCACCGGTTCCACTTGTTGGCCGCACCAGGCGGTCTGCGCTAGTTGGAAGTTGGGTTTCCCTGTGCAGCTTGGGAGCCCGCCGCCTGGGACTGGGACTGGTGGATGAGATGTCGAAAGGTCCAAAGACCTCATTCTACTGGGGATGGTCAAAACCAATACTCAAGGAGGTAACAAAACCAGGTTTTACTGGGTCTTTGGACTTGGAGGGCTATGTTAAAAGCCTGACAAATCGTCACCACTCCCAAGTCCAAAGGGAAATGGTGCTCTTGAGCAGGTGTCTTTCTTTTGCATCTGTCCGCATAATACATCTTTCTCAGAATTCTCAGAGTACTCACCGTCCAATAGATCGAGAAGCACCACGACTAGGACAACAGCCCCAAAATGCCCCAACACCACGGGACTCCGTCGTCGACTGAGAAGATCACGGACGCTTTGGATGTCAACCCACATGTAGTGTAGCTGTGTAGCTCCAAAAAGGGAGACCTCCCAGGCAACGACTCGACCCAGTTCGGGAAATAGACCAGTCTGCCCAGGGGGGGCATCCACATCCCGCCACCACAACTAGATATCGCCACGAGACGGCTACCCCGCAGAGCGACATCTGCTGTGGCCAAGGCCGAGGTGAGGACAAGGCGCCACATGGCTCGAATCGGATGGCGCCACCTGCTATAACAAGCCAAAGAAGATCGGCTGCAGGTGGCTACAGGCTAGTGAACACCAAATCCAAAGATCTTTTTCAGAGAGGTGGTGTGAAGTCAAAGGGTTGGAGGAAGTTACTCTGCCAAAGCCACCGAACATCATCTTGAAACAAAGAACGCCACGATGTAGGATCCCAACAGAACGGGGAACAAAAACCAGGGTCCAGCGGTTCCAGTGGGGGAGTCGCAGGGGGTGGACCCTCTGGCGGACCATCCGCCCTTCACACCCAAGAGGTCGCTGCACTCCTTCGAAGAGGTGCCTCGGGTCATGGGGGACGCTCGGTCGGTCTACCGAGATGGGATTGTTGCTGGGGTCCTTGACCTCACCACAGTCTCAAAAGGATTTCAATCACCTTCCGTAAACTACCATCTGTAGTTGCACAGCCTGTGGTGTATGTGGGAGAAGAACTATACATCAAGTCCAAAACACAAACTGGACAACAAGAGATTACCGTGTATGTTTTTTACATGATTATTTTCTCCCACGAACGTCACGATCTTTGACGGCAAGCCATGGCAAGCCGTTCTCTTTGGAAAACCGGTCTAGATTGAGGAGGCCTACAAATCTTTGTCTTTGTGGCACGTGACGACCAACCTTGAGTAGACCAACCTTGGGTGAAGCGATGCATGGCGCCCAGTTCTGTGAACATGGCCCCCCACCTGCCTGCCGACTGTGGGGAGGCTGCCTGCAGTCGGAAACAAGGACCATCAAGCACCCAGGACACCGTGCTACGACGGGATGTTGCAAGAAACCGACTGAAACCGACGGACGGCACCGCTCGCTTGGCACCGAATTGGTGGGGACCACGTTCTGAACGGCCCACGTGGCACAGAATTGGAACCGAATCTCGATGATGTGGCGCTGTAGGCCACCGCATGTCCGGCCCTGCTAGCATCAATTAACGGCATTTTGGGTGGGCAACTCACAGCAATTCCAACTTGGGCCATTCCCCTTTGCAACTCATGATTGCACCGACTATACCTTCGGCCTTGTCCAAACGATCAGCATGTCAGGCAGTCGTGAACAAAAGTTTCGATGAGTTTCTACAATCGACACGATATGGAGTGGCCAACGATCTTCTCTATCACCTCTAATGTGCCCCAGCTCTTCTGTCGTGCGCTCGTTGCTTTTGCATCTGTTGTGCTATGTATGTCATACACTGCCGGGTCGTTTGCCAAAAAGGCACGTCCTGTTCCAAACGGTAAGTGTGCGAGGGGAGTTGAGACCCTTCCCGCTCGAGCGATTTCACGTAGCCGCAGTTAACCTAGACACCTATCGCTTGGGTCTATCCCATTACCAGTAGCAGTGGATGATGATGGTTAGTCAAGGCCTTGCTCAAAAATAGTGATCACTGTTTACCACTGTTACAGGAAATGGGACAGACCCAACATATTGCCTATATGATCACCATCACACGACAAAACGATTCCGATAGGCCCACAAGCGCTTTCAAAGACCAACCCTGGATCTTCCAATCGCCACTCCAATCGCTCGTGACGCCTCGTGCGCTCTCGCCCGACGCATCGACTTCGTTCTCGACCGAACGGAATCGGCCGGACCGACGAGTCCGGGAGTCCAAAGACCAAGCGTGCCAGGTGAACGAGTCCAGGGCTGGAAGCTCGAACCTGGCGAAGGGAGTCCGCTGGATCAAGTCCGGGCAGGGGGGGAACTGGGCGAACCTGCAAAGGAACCTGGAGAGCTTGTGCCCAGGGAGGCGAGGAAACAAGTATGGAACATTGATCATGTGGAATGTGTGGTGAGGTGAAAGCTAAGCTGGAAGAGGCGTAATGAGATCTCATAGATTAAAAGAACGTGTGAGAGAAAACATGACTTGATCTGCCAACACCCTACTAGTCAATGCTGAACCGTCTGGCCGTGAGCTCCTGTCTACTAAACAGAATTAGTCAAACTCTATATATATATATATATTATTCTATATAGTAGTCTAGTAGTCGATTTTTGCGTGTTGGACCCCGTGTACTCCCCATCATCCGCCTGCCGCACTTCCTCGTCCTTCTCATCCTCCAGTTGCCAAGCATGATCCACATCCCTCAGGCGAGGACGCTATCCGGCAAAGAATTCTCGCTGGGGCGTAAAACATGCAGCTCATCTTTTTTTCTTGACATAGGTGCTTCGCAAACGAATTGACACCCCGCCGGAAATGGGAGTTCCGAAACTCCTCATCTTCCTTCACCTGCCTCAAGCTGCCTGCAATTCTATGCAATTCTTAGTGCAGGAGAACCGGCCATGACAGGAAAGCCAATAGATATATTGATAGATGGCCCGCCTGGAAGTCCTTGGGGAGGAGGCTGAACTGCCTTTGGTCTTCTCCTCTTCCTGGCGACGACAGGCTGGGCGATGGCAGGCTTTCAACATCTTTCAACCTGGACGGTCTCGTTCGACCTCGTGCCCATTGTTACTATAACCATATCCCAGAGCATCAATGTATGACATATTTACCAACATTGGGGTGGTTTGGGGGGTCAACGTAGCATATATGTCATACATTGATGGTCTTTTCTTTTGGGATGAATATAAGATATAAAGAGTCTTAACATAGGCAGGTGGGTCTGGAATGTTCTGGAGATGGACCATTCAAAGATGAACCATGCATTTCTTTCGCCCAGGAACTCGGGAGACACGTGTGGAGATGCTCACATTGGACGCCCCGCAGAAGTCAGCGGTCAAGTCCACTCGTCCGTTGGAAGTGACCGACCGATCCTCCCAGCCACCTAGCTTGGAGAACCAAATGGGCACAACGTGGACAGAACGGTCGAACTACATCTGTTACCCAAGGCAGCCGTGGAACCCGAGAGGTTTAGAGCCAAAAATTGGACACCTGCTCCCAGCCCAGAAGGGATGGCAAATCCAGTGATTGATCGTAGTCCTAGCGGTCACTGCTCAGGTCCGACGCTGTACTCGAGACTAGCACATTTGATCCAGTTTTGATTCGCCAGTACCAGACGCTCCGCCGACCGCCAGACCTCGCCTTGGACTCCATACTCGCCGTGCTCTTCTTGGACGTGTTCCGCCGGAACCTGTCGACCGCCGTGTGGACCGAAAAGAGAAAAACGCATAGCGACCGGGTTGCTCTGATGATCTTGGAATGGATTGACGTTGCCACTCACATCACGGTAGGTGAAGGAACAAGTCCCTTCAAAAGGGTCACCAGCACCGGGTTTGGAGATTCAATGGGCGCCCATGTTTGTCCTCTGCAGTGGCCAAGCGCTCATCGATGTAAGTGTGGCTGCTTGTCCTCCTGTCATTTCGAGTCCTCGAAACAAAACACCCACTGCGGGGTGTCAGCATGTGTCAGCCAGCCATCCTGAAAACTGAGCACATGTGACCAAGTCCAGTGACTCAACCTCAGATATTTGTTTCTACCAGGTACCCAACAAATCCAAACCACCCTCACTGATGCGCTGGAGAAAGGAAGGAGACCGCCTGTCGAGCATGGCGCGCCTGCGAGAGCCGCGAGACGAGCAGAACATCAAACAGAAGCGAAGGGGCGAAATGTGGTGCTGCTGCTGGTGCTTTCTTCAGGCAATCACCCTGAATGGCATGAAGTTTTCTTTCATGAATCAGGTTCTGTATTTTTTTTCAGCCTCATGAACTGAACCCTGAACACTGACAGGCTCACCAGTGCCCAAACCAGCGAAGTCGATGTGAAGGTCACCCACGGATACCTCGACTCTCACCAAATATCTATATACCGTAGTAGATTGCGTGATGGGATTTCTGAGATTTGATCCAAAGAGTCACCCATGTCGTGTTAGACACGGACACCTTGGGGTCATCTTTGATGGGTTGTTGCAGGTCTGTGGCTACCCTGTTGGAGTTGACACAGGCATCATACACCCATCGATGCGAAACGCACAAACCACCAGTTGACTGAGGCGTCGCCAAGGGCTTGACATGGACTACTTTGAAGAAAACTTGAGAGAGGAGGGGGTGAACGAAAGGTAGCAGGCAAGCACAAGTAACCCTGGTAGAAGTCCAGGAGGCAAAATGCCACACTGCAAACCTTAAATCGTACACCGTGAAAAAAGAGTCGAGGCTGTATGGGAGAGACGAACTTCGGTGCTTGGATCAGCCGAGTTTGTGGCCACTTTGAAGCCTACATAGCTTAAAACCATCGATATTTGCACAGTTTTGTGCCGGGAAGGCGCACAAAACCGCGTAAATACCATCAATTCTTGCCCTTTTGAGCCTCCAAACACCGAAAAAAAAATCCGACACAATCTTCCCTGGTATTTTGCAATTTGTCGACCATGTTTGAAGCCTAGACACCTCAAAAACCATCGGTTTTTACGAGTTTTTTTGCCGGACAGCCACCAAAAAAAACTGTAAATTACGTGGTTTGAGGCCACTCTTGAAGACTGGAGGAGCTGAAAACATTGTTATTTAATAGCAGTTATTTAAAAATTGTTATTTACAGTGTTTTCTAGCCGTTGACAAAGAGCCGTGCCAGGGTGGAGTTGAAAGGGGGGGCCCCCTGGCCACTAAAATGAAATGTCGGGGCGATTTCTCAGTGAGATAGGCCTCCACTCTGGTTATAATATGTTATAATTCATGTTTGCTAAAGCAAAAGGAAAACTCCGGTAGCGTCACCGCTACATGACCAGTTGTGCCACCAATCATGCTCATCATACTCAATTGTTGGGTCCCCCAAAACCACTGGAACTCATGGCCATCTGGGCAAACAAGGTCCAGTCCCCCGCCCGTCTCACGCTGCTCGTCCACGGACCAGGTCCACCCGTGCCCGTGTCACGCAAGGGACAGCCTCAATGGGGCTGTTGCTTGGAGCTGCTTTCTTCGAATTCACCCCGTCAAGGTCTCACTCCCAGGTGCCTGAGTGAGCACCTTTGGCTCCACCCATGCGCAACTCACGGCTGCATCTCGAGTCGGAGTTCTATGGACGAATGCGCCACAAGATGCCACAAGGCTGTCATGTGCCCTCCCTGAATTCCAAACATGATGGTTTCCAAATACATGGCTTGGTTTCACAACACCGTCAGCTGGGAACCTCGGAAACCCCCGTGCGCTGGAACACTGCGCGCAACAAAAATGGGTTAACCTCCTTTCTTGGAAGGTGGCAAGCGAAAAAAGCATGGCACGATGTCTGAGATCCTTTGTGGTCGGTTGCTTGGTGAACTGCCACGAACTACCTCAAATGATCTCAAATGTACACGCAACTTATTATTATCATTATACCTATCAGTTTGTCAACTTCTGCCTTTATGCGTGTGTCAGTCTATCTACTCCGGAATGCGCCACTCGAACCAGCAAAACGGCGCCGACCCTGGACGGAGGCAGAAGGAACGACAGGCTGAAGGAACGACGTAGCATTGAGGTGAAATGGAGCGTGCTCAGACCGCTTTTGAGACCTGAGAGACCGTAGGACATGCCTTGACCAAGAGAGAACTGAGTGGGAACTGGGATGGCTCAGGTTGGGCTTCAACTCAAGCATGATGGTGCTAGTAATGGTTCGGGAACACCAACAAACTCTACAGGGAGATGAATGAGTATAATGATTCATGAGGACTCATCCGCAACAACGCGAGAAGCTGGGACTTCCCCTTCAGTGAATGGTCCTTGGGAGAGGTGCCCGTTTTTAGGTCGAGCGAGGTAGCGGAGAGACGAGCCATCCAATCCGTCACGATGAACCCTTCTCATGGGAAAGCATGATGCCCCATTGACCCCACTGTGACCCATCCAAACCCATGTGGTGAAGGGGCTTGATTCGCGACTAGCTGCTAGCTCAAAACAAAAACCAAACATCTCTCAAAACTAGAGTCACTAGAGATTCCTTGCGGGTCGCGGTGATTGTGTCTAGCTCATACAAAGATTAGCCACATTCACCGTCATATTATAGATGATTGTAGATGCAAACAATTGCACAAACATATGCGCACCTTGCCGCTGTCTGAACTCCAGCAGAGCTATCACGCAATTCATTCAGTGGAATGGTGGTCCTGTGGTGCTTTACAATTCTGGAAGGTAACTCGCTCAATGAAAGGACACTGAACATGGGGAAACACTCACTGCAGCTGCACCTCATCCGCCTGATCCTCATCATCCGACCTCGGCACACAGCCGCCCCAGGGCGGATGTCAGTATCTCCTACTTCGGATCCGCAAAGGAGAAGAAAAGGTGGAACATGCACACTCACATACACTCACATCCAGAGGTTGAACAGCCCTTTGTCGCCCATCCCATATGTACCACTACAGGGTCCTATATGGTCTCTCAACCTCGATCATTTACAAAGAGATCCTCCAAGCAAATCCCCAACATCGGCAAGACGTGGAAAACCACCGGATGATTGGAGAGGGACCGCCTCAGAAGGCAGGAAGGGTGTACCCAAAAAATGGTCGAGTCCGGCAAAAGGCCGGTTTTAGTGGCTTAGGCTTTGTGCCGCGCGTTTCGCCGGCAGATCTGGTTCTTGAAAGGTCTGGTGCCAAGGGCGGCGAAACGCCACCTTCCTGAGCCTCCATACTCGAAGTCGTCCTCGTTGGCGCCCTGCAAAGGTGGGGGAGACCGGCCAGGCACACGCTTTTGTTTCACAACGCGCAGGCTTACACTTACACGGTCGCACGCCAGGCACGTCAGGCATCAAAACGCGACATGCTCAGATTCCACCGTGACAGTTTACTCGGTCACAGGGGCTTTGACCAACATGGCCACTTGAGTGTGAGTGCGTGTGGTGAGGGTCCCAGGTGCGGTTTCGGGCGTCACCTAGTACCAAAGCAACTGGAAGCAGGCACTGTAAGGGCATTTCAACGAATATCCGTGTTCAAAAGCTGGTGCAGTTGTTCCGCTGCACACCGTTCAATATTTGTGGGTGTCCACTTCACCGCTGCCCTCTACACTGAGTCTGGAAGGGGTTTTCAATAAATAGAAGAACAAAACTCGCCAAGATTTGGATCAAAGTGAGACCTGCAAGAATCTAGCCTGCAAGCGTTAGGAACTGAGGTGATCATAGCACGGAAATGACACACTGACACTGACACACTGCTTTATTGTGAAACGAACCCCTTGGAACCAACCACTCCACATCACTGCTCTAAGTGCAATCCAAGAACAGCTGCACCCAAAAAAGGACGAGTGTAAGATGTGGCTCACAAACAGCTACCTCACGTACCTCAAGTTGGCTCATGGACATCCCTGAGCAGTTCAATCCAATCAACCGAAACATCCCTGCCGCCCAGCCCAGCCCCGCGAATCCGAACAGTCGTAGCCCTAGTCGTTTGATCCGTGGTGTTCTGAGTTCCTCCTCGCAGTACTGGGGAGCATGTAGCCGGTACGGAGCCGGCTAAGGTAATTATGTTGGTATTACCGTTAATGTCCGTGACATCAAACTATATCGACTATGTCTTGTGCTATCTACGCTAAAAAGACTGATATGCGCGGAAACGCATTGACACCCAAAAAACTCTAGACCCTAGGAGACATTCAAGTCAAGCATTCACCGTTTGCAAAGGCCCATGCACACGAGCGACTTTCAACAAAAATGAGCTTGGCTCTACTGGCTCTGCTGCCGACAAAGTTCAGAACTTCTGTTAAACCATACCAACAACTTGACAACAACAAGAAGACCGGCATGACATGCTATTCTCGAACACCGGCCTCAAACACCGAGCTATTCTCGAAGCCTTGGCTTGGCCATGCGGTCATGAAGGCATGAACGACCGCAGTCAAATGTGTTCACATGGTTTCAGGGCGGGAATTAAAGCATAACCGGGCGTGTATAGTGCTGGCAACAGCTTATTCACCGATTACCAAGAAGGGTTGTCAGAGTAGTATGTCAGAGCCAACGTAAGAAACAGTGTTGACGCACAGGTTGACTTTTGGGACTTTTGTTGGTACGAGAGTGGACCGGTCTAGGTCTATAATTACTTGATTCTCGATCTATCCTGTGGTTGTCATTTGTTGATCAGCTCAAAGGGGGCAGGGGATTAGCTCCAAAGGTGACGCTTGTGCTGCTTGACAATCCATCTTCATCATCCGGATTGTTGATACCCTGCTAGCAAGTGCCCCGACGCCGCCAAAATCCAACTGGCCATTGCGAACGCAATAGGTCTACTAAAAAGTTGGAAAACATTTTGTAGTATTCCACCCCGTCCTCTTTGTTCAACGCTCTCTGTTTTATGTTGAAATTCCTTTCACTGACCAATGCTTCAGCTATCTTCAGCCTTCCAGGTTGTTGGGATTCTGGTAGTCAAAACCGATCCAATTTTTGTCAGTCTTGCATATGCAAATTATTTTGACCCACTGCCCAGCACGACTTGCTAGCTTAGATTCTTTCAAGGGAAGCAACCTCACCTTATTGAAGCAGTCTCAAAATCTTAGGGTAGCGTCTGTCCCCTGCAACCTGCAAACATAGAAAGATCATGCTTCAATAAGTTCATTGTTGTCTAAGTGTGTGTATTCCGGCATCTGTCGCCCTCCTGCC